ATTTATTGTTGTTAATTATCAATGCTAGATTAATTTCCTATTGTTTGATTTAATGCTCTGTGACTAGATTAGGCCTGATCTTTTATGCATGAGTTTGACAATATTGATTCGAGATTCGATAGATGAGAATTAATGTTTAGGTCTAGTTTCAATAGGCAGGTTAATTTATAAATGGTTAAGTCGAGATTCGAGAGATGAGATTTAATACCGGTAGATTAATTCTGTGATTGTAATACGTAGCGAATGCCCTTTACAATCTGGTTAATTGATGCATTGATGATTGACTACTATTGATTATTGGTATTGCATGATAATTTATTATTGAATTGTTTTAACGATTTACAATTGCGGCTTGTAAAAGTATAACAATATTGAATTGATGAATCGAGCATATGTTAATTTGATATTAAAGGCTATTTTCAATAGGAACTTAGATCTAGTAAATTGCGAGAGCCTGTTAGATCTATGTTGGTTAATAAATTGCGAGAGCTTGTTAATCATGTTATTTATGCAATGTCAATGATTGATTATTATGTTTTATCCAGGAGTATTATTTATTGGTGAACCTATGCCCTAGATCCTTTTATATATTGCTTTCTCTCTATTCTCAATCTCCGTAGTTTAGTTTGTTATTCACAGTTATATATTGGTTACTTCATAATCTAGATTATATTAGTTAATTAGGAATAGAAAGACCCGTTTCTCTCTGGATTCGACCCTACTTCCCTATCTACATTAGTTAGTGGATTTAGGTATTACTTTTGATTTGGGGATACGACTTTACCCTGTCAGGTAATCTTATTATCTTAATCTTGTCATTAAGTTATTAATTATGTTTATGGTTTTATTTATTGCGAGTGCAGTCTCGTTTTTGGGTTTGTTTACGCGGTGAGTCGGATTCACCAAACCCCAACACGAATAAACTACACTTCTCTCTATGGGGTTATAGAACGTCCATACGAACATCAATAGGAGTAACTCTGTGCTCCTTAGTTTTTGGAATGGACGCAGTTCAACCAGTTGAACTGGAAATTCCATCCTTACGCATCGTACTCGAAAGTAAGCTACTGGAAGCTGAATGGGTAAGAGCGAGGTATGAAGAGCTGTTATTCCTCGATGAACGACAATGAAGAGCTTTGCACCATGTACAAGTCTACCAATGACGCATTGCGTGACATTTTAACAAAAAGGGTACGACCTAGAAATATTAAAGAAGGTGACTTTGTACCAAAAGAGGTTAGAGGCCCACCAACCGATCCAAGAGGAAAATTCAAACCTAATTGGATAGGGCCATACCGCGTAATTGAAATTATATCAGGAGGAGCTGTCAGATTAATGGATATTGGAGGTGATGAAATTCACCAACTAATAAACATTGATCGACTTAAAAAATATTACATATGAAATTCGGATAAACTCGTTCATTCATTAAACAAATCATTTTTTTAGCATTCAATTAAAAGATTCTAAGTGTTACGCACTTTACTGAATAACACGGTAAAGTTCATAATACTAGGGGGTAATTTAAAAACAAAACATATACCATTCAAGTGTTCAGATTTTTTCGAACACCTTGAAAAACTCTTTACACTTGGGGGGGGGGGGTAATAATGCAAAAAAAAAAATGCTCGTAGCACAGGTTTCGCGCCCAACTAAAACAGTTGCGCGCGGATGTCACGCGCAACGGAATCAGTTGCGTGCGATAGGCTCGCGCAACCTTAGACGTTGCTCGCGCCACTTGATGACGAACTACGAACCCAGAATTTTTGCGCGAGAATAAAAATACAATTTTTACTTGCGATAAAAAAAGAGGGCGTTTCTAGAAAATAACATATACTCGGAAAATAAAAATTAAGTTTTGATTTGAATTATTAAACAAAGTTTGATTAATTTTTTCATTCAATTTTTACATAAGAGGTTGAAGAAAAAATATTTTAAAAAAACATAGTACAAACATTGTAAAGAACTAGCAAAGACTTGATTTGGTAATACGAATACGTAGGAAATCTTTATGATTTGGTAATATAAAAAAATATATAATAAAGCTCATTTTATTCCATTCGAAATTCCAAAAAAAAAAAAAACAAGAGTCATTGTTGAACTAGGGAATAAATTAAAAAAAACATAGTAGTGATTACACTTTATTTGAATTAAACAAATGACATATAGTGTAAATCTCTAAGGTTTTACTATATACTCCATTGTCACAGTAGACGGAGGAGTAGTTTCCATTGCAGTAGTTTCAGCAACCTTAGGGCTTTCTCCTTCACTCTTCTTTTTAATCCATACACTGTTCTTCAATTTAGGAATTGGGGTCTTTGCAACTTGTTTTCCTTTTCCTTTAACAATTGTTGGGGTCTTCTTGCGAGTATTTGGTGAAGGTTCTTTAATCTTCACCCCTTATTGCGCATGTTTAGGAGGAGCCTTTCTCTTTGGTTCCTTTGAACGAGCTTTAGGAGATGAGAAGTCTAATTTTCTTCTCACTCATTTGTTTTTGCCACTAAGAGGAGTAGTGGTGGCCGAATGCATCAAAGGTTTGGGTGGATTGCAAGCCAAGGTGGCCTGATTTTGTGATCGAGCCTTGTTTAGCTCACCCTTGTCCGTCGCATTCATCCAAGCCTTGTAGAAGGAGGATAACACGATACTTACAGTTGGACTTTAACTACCCATCTAGGGAGACTTGATCAATATTACATCCAACGAGGGATCCGTTCGGGTTTAAGAACCACGTATTTTGGGGGATCACAATCCCGAGGAGGGATAACTTGTTTCATTCCGTATTGTCTCATCACCCTACAAGGAAAAATGTAAGTAGTACTAGATAGCCCTAAAATCCTAATATAGGGACTATTAAAACTATTCCCAACCATACTACTTATGTTCCACCAAGGAATCACAAAGCGTATGTTGGGAACCCCATGACAGAAAAACGACGTCCATTCTTCTTCATTCTTGTGTTTGTAGAGAATTCGATGTCCAAGGAATGTTATCACTCCATGAGCCTTAAAAATTTCTGGCTATTCATCAATTCGCAAGCGCTCCATGAGCCAAATTTGAAAAAAAAACGAAGAAAATTAATTTGCGACTTTACACGAGCAAGTGGCGCAAGCATCAAAATAAGTTGTGCGCGCCATCCGCGCGCATCGGAAAATATTGCGCTGGTCAGGCCAGCATAACTTCCTAACTTGAGCTGCTTTACGACGAAAAAAAACGTACGTGTAATAAAAGTGGACTTCCTGTGAAATCATTCTCGTTAGGGTCTCCTCTAAGGCGATTCAAGCATAGAACGATTTCTGCCAAAGCTAAAGGACCGGGTGAATGACATCCCTGTATTTGCTCTACTATGGACACCATGGAATAATCTCCGTATTCTTTACCTGTCCTAAGTAAACAATTGACAACAAGACAATAACATATAGCACGAATTTTAAAACGTTGTTTAGTCAAGTTGTCACGAGGGGCGACAAAATGTTCAATAAATTGAATTAAATCCATGCCTTCTTCTTTTCCAATGTTAACCATATCATTGTCACTCAAACCAAAAAATCGCTGAAAAATAGGTTTGGGATTTGAGAAGTTAGGGGAATATGTCACAGGGAGAGTATTTGTAGGGAAACCTAGTAGAGCCTCAAACTCGCCTAGGTAATGGGACAATTTCATTCCCTTTAAAAAGAAAGAGATGGTGGTTCGAGTCCCAATGATTTCATTCCCTTTAAAAAGAAAATAAAATTTTATAACTAGTTGCATATAATTCAATAGAGGGTCAAGGTGGTATATTTTGAAGGCTAATTTATCTTCAGTTGAAAGGGAAGTGACCCATTGCTTCAACTGTTGTTCAAAGGTTTTTGCCATTGATCAATGTGCATAAAAAGGGAGAGGGAAAGAATTTAAAGAGATTAATTCTTTATAAATCTTTATAACACCACTAAGCGAATGAATGCAAGATGATCAAAAGCCTACACAAAACCACGCTAAAATAAACCCAAGAGGGGAAACTTTTCGGCAATTTTCGCTCTAAGGAAAGTTCACCCGCAGGTGGTGCGCGCAACTCAGGAGTTGCGCGCGCCTACCGTGCGCAACCAATTCACATGCGCGTGACAGCCGCACGCAAGATATCCAGTTGCGCGCGTCTGGTCTGCCGCGACATGTCGTTTTGATATATTTTCGTATTTTGAACTCCATAATAACGGAATATTGACGAAATCTTATAAATAATCATACGCTTAAATTTTGTTAACTCTTGTGTCCTTTTTTATGCTTTATTTTATTTTATTTCATTTTCATTTTAATTTATTTTCTTATTTTCTTCTTATTTTCTTTTTCTCTTCCTTTCTTTCGTTTTTCTTTTCCCTTTTTTCTCTCTCCTTTTCATGTCCTCTTTTCTTTGTTCCTTTTTCGAGGGGGGTAAGTCGGGAACCCTTTCCCTCCCTCGGGAAATTTTTTTCTTTACTTAAAAAAATTGGAAACAAAAGAAAAATAATGACATATATATAAAATGTGTGTTATATGAACAAAAACTATATAAAAAAATATGTACATATGTTTCCAAAAAAAAAAGAAAAAAAAAAAGAAAAAAAGAGAATATAAATACAAAGGAAGTTAGGATGCTCTGCGACTCCCAGACGACTTCTGTACACCCTGCAAAATCCAAACAAAGATTAATACAGAAAACTGTGTAATAACTTTGATAAAAGATAAAAGAAATAAACCTACCGTGACCATTCGATGATTAGTGCATGATAAAGCCACGAGGGCTCACCGATAAGAAGCTCGGAGAGCACGTATAGTCCTCACCAATCCGTTCACGGTCTCTCGCGGTACCTGTGCCAAATACAAGGACAGTTAACGAACAAACATATACGAAAAAAATTTAAAAACAAATACATATACAAACACTACCACAAAATAGGGAATACATAACACACAATATAGAGCTGTCAAGTTAGATAGGCGATCTCTAGCATTCTACAGAACGCCTACCTAAGATGAGCGCTTCGTATGTTAAGACCTATAGAGCGCCTGTCAGGTTAACTGTTCTATATATTTTACATAAAAAATATGACTTTAGATATAGATCGTTTTTCTTAGATGAGCGATCTTTAACATAATTAAAAAATAATTATAATAATAATAAATCTTACCTTATAAAATGCTCCGTAAAAAACTAAAACCCTACTCCTCAACCTGCACGCCGCTCTCCCTTCTCCTCTTCTTTCTCTCTCTTCCTTCTCTCCTCTCATCTCCATGCCTCTTTCTCATCTTTCATCTCATCTTCTCAAACTAAAAAATAAAATATGAAACAAAAATCATAATTACGCAAGTAAATCTATTTTTCGGTTTTACAATCAAGATCAACGCATGGTCACTTGTATCTTTCCCTCAAATTTTCAAAAATTAAATGCGATTTCATTCAATCTAGATCTGATAATTGTAGTTCAAAGAAATGTTGAAGGTTTAGAGCCGAAAAATGAATTCAATTTGATTACATTCAAGTCAGTTTCAACGAACCGGTAATGCTCCGTTGCAACGCCGCCGTAGATCGAGCCGGATAAACCGTCGTCGTATGATTTGGATGCGTTGTAATGAGGTGTTGCTGCTATGAAACGGATTATAGAGTCCAAAGATGCATAAAGGTATATGAAGTGTAATCTTATTTGTGTTCACATTTCAATGTTAAATTCCGTTTTTTAGTTGATTTAAAGTGATTGATATGATTTTTTCTGTTTTTTTTTAATTATTATCGATCTACAGTACATGATTTGATTCTAAGTCAAAATTTTAGTTTTCATTTTGAGATTTCGTTTTACTTCTCAATTAGTTTAGATCTTTTGGTGCTTGGTTATATGTTATTTATTCTGATTTTTATCTTTTTCCACTTGATTTTCATATTTTTATAATTTCTAATTTTCATGTCATGATTTTGATCTTCGTCTCCTATGAATTGATTTTCATGTCATGATTTTTCATGTTTTGATTTGCAGGTGTTTGATGCGACTTCTCTATTTTGTGCCTTATTAATGGAAAAGGTGGTTGAGGCTAGTGAAGGCTAGATCTAAGTGCTGCTAGTGGTGTGGAGGTTTTGACTTTTGAGGGCAATTCAAGTCGTTGCACAGTTGTTACCCTATTGATAATTAATTTGTTGTGTTAGAAAATTTGTAATGTAATTATTTTTATCAAGGAATTTAGTTATTATCATTCAAATATTTGTATTTTACTGTAATATTTTTTATAAATAAAATGTTATTGTTATGATTTTTTATTTATTACGTATGAATTATTATTATTATTAATTATAATTTTTTTTAATTAAAAAAGTGAGGAATAGAGAACGCCTATCTATGACAGGCGTTCCGTTTTTATAAACTTATAGAGCACGTCTTTTCCTTGTTTTTTATTTACCTTTTATCTAAAATAGGAAGCGCCTATCTTGGATAGACGATGTGTATTGTGTTAGATATCAAATGCCCCTTAGAGGCGTTCTATAAAATTTATAGGGCACCACCTCAGGAGAGCGCCCTAGAGGCGATCTATATTGGTTGTTTTAGGCGATCTCTATTCCCTATTTTGTGGTAGTGAAAATAAACATACCGACTCAACTGTCTCAGGAATATTCAGTATGTCCTCCTACTCCTCCGTTGCCGGGATAATCTCGCGAATTACCGATCCAAAAGCATCGGTATACGTGACCTCCGCCGTTGGAGGCACCCAACCACCTAGCTCGACTCGCTGAAAACACAATAAGAGAGTCAAGGTTCCGAAAATAAAAGAAAAATTAAAAAAAATGGTAAAATACTAACCGGAACAAAAACAGGGAAAAGAGTCAGCCTGGATGCGATGAAAGCCTGGTAAGATGCATCCGGCAGCACCAGCTGCTTCGCTGGATAACTAAGGATCGCCTGAGCTCGATCCTTGGTAGACAGCAAGTTCGGATGCAACATCCAGATCGGAGGATCCGCAAGGACCCCAGGCTCCTCGAATAACGACTGCCAGAGAACACTATCGCCTAAAAACCAAGCATCTGTCCTCTAGAGGACTGGAAATCCCTATAAAGCGCCCGAAAACGGCAACGAATCATGCGAGACCGGATAGCCTCAGGGACTACGACGATCAAACTCCAAGGACAGAGATCGATGTATAAACACAGCCACATGAAAAATCATCAGAAAATAAACAAAATAAAAATAGTGAAGATGCACATGTGGTTGAAATACTCACCGACGCACGAGTCGCCACAAGGATCCTCTGGCAAAAGTCGACGTCTGAAGTTGCTTGCCTCTTCTTAATCGTGACCAGTCGATGGCCGATAGGAAAACGAGCAGCCCCGAGCATCCTAGGGGGCTAAGAAAGGCATGTACGAATATCCTAAGCCTATAAGAAGCGAAAAATAATAAGGAAAAGAAAACAAAAATGGCGATTTACAAAAAAAAAGGATAAGTACGCACCTCAAGGATACGACTGTGCCACGTAAGGGAGATCCGAGGCACCTCAGTAGCTGCCGCGGAATCCATCACCCGGGTCGCCTTGCCCATACCTGTAAGCATACGGGCATACGACACCTCCGCCCAACTCAAGTTACCTACCTGCCCCAAATCACTGAGACAAATAAGTAACCCAATGGATCAGTCTTGATGTTTAGTCAAAGCATAGTTTTAATTTTAGCCTAAACCTTTCTTTATTTTATTATTTTATTATTTATTTTGGCCCAAACCTTTTATTTATTTTATTTACTTATTTTCTTATTTTACCCCAAATAATAATAAATCAGAAATGGCTTGAAATTATCAATCGACACTTAAAATGCTGAACGAAATTAGGGTTAAAAATGAATTTAGACGGAAAAGCGGACTGAAAACTCACGCGTCACGGCAACAGTCCACCGTGTCACGGGAAACTATCTCGTCTGACGGTGGGGTTCCCCGTGACACGTGACACCTGATGTGACACGGGGGTTTCCGTTCCCTTTCTGCGTAAACCCTTAACGCGTTTTCTCCCCCGTTCACTAAATATTTCCCGTGTTACACAAAAGTACACCGTGTCACGGTACACTTTGCCGTGTCGCGGTATACTTTTTTAGGGTTTTTTCATTTTAGGGTTCCGTGTGTTCCTTTAGCACATTTTTTCTATAAATACCCCCTCATTTCTGATGTACAGGGCATGAATTAATTCTCTATTTCTCTTTCTTCTATGCTCTAGCCTAAACACTAGCCTATTCTTCTTCTTTCAAAATTCTTTCTTCAAGCACTCCCAGGAGTCCATACTTTACTCGTGGTTCTGTCCTTAAGCCAAGGCGTGAAAGGTAGAACTGATTGAGGGTTTGGCCCCAAATCTACTTCATTTAATTTAACTTAATTATTGTTTTATTATTATTTCCTTGAAGTTACTAACTCGTTTATTATTTTGTAGTTGCAAGCAAACAGAATCAAAGTAAGAATTATGTTCAATTCTTTTTATTTCTATTATTTTTCTAATGATTTTACATTGTTGGAATCATTGTTAAATTTCTTTCAATATTAATGTTTATTCTATTTTTATTTTTGATCACCATATTGCATGTTTAAAGGGAATATGTAATTGAAAATCACGCCTAATAAGATAATTTGGACAATCGGTTTAGGTTCCCTTTTAATCTTATTGTTTAATCAAGTGATCACAAATACTTTAGAATTATATGTTGCATTAATATTAAACCAATTTAGTTTAATAATAGTTTGGAGCGAATTGAATCTTTGTTTTTATGCCTTTGAGATCGCAGGAATGCTTTTCACTATAAGAATCGAGTAGAGGCCAATACGAGCGAATGTGACTCCATGACTCAGTTCGTACCATCATCCCCGATCCTCCTTTCGTGTTTCTTAACCATATGGAGTTAGTAATATCATGGATTATGAATTGGGTGTAACCTTCACGGGTTAATCGTTGTTGCCTATCGTTGTCCCTTATCGTGGTTGCCTTTTTATGATCCGTGAACGGTTTACAAGTTCCTTAAAAACTTGTTGGTGGCTCCCTACTTTCCTTGTCCCTAATCATATTATGTCAATTCCCACTTCCTATGAGTGTCAAGCATATTCACACATGCTTTAACGTAGGTGCACTTCGAGCGACGCCTACAATTTTGTGACTCCACTGGGGAATATGCTGACGTGGCACGGTGGAAACCCAGCAAAAAAAAAAAATTCTCGTGCCACGTCAGCGTTAACTGTGTCACGGGAAAGTTCATCATGGCACGGTGGATTTCCAGCAAAAAAAAAAAAATTTCTCGTGCCACGTCAGCATCCACCGTGTCACGAGAAAGTTCACCGTGTCACGGCAATTTCCACCGTGGCACAGTGGATTTCTAGGAAAAAAAAAGAAAAAAAAATCCCGTGTCACGGTGAACTTTCCTGTGACACGTCAGCATCCATCGTGCCACGGGAAAGTTCACCGTGTCACGACAGTTTCCTCCGTGGCACGGTGGAAACCCAACACAAAAAAAAACCCACCGTGTCACGGTAGCTTGTACCGTAACACGGTACAGTTTTCCGTGTCACGATACCCTTGAAATAAATCTAGTCAGCTTTTTTTTAGTCTTCCTTGTTAATTTGGTCCTCGCGTCTGTCATTTTGGTTATTGTTCACATGTCTAGCCATACGATCATACCACGAGTCCTATAACATCACTTAGTCACTCACGAGTCAAGTATAGTCCACACACTTTCTTTATGTTCCGACTCGAGTTGTGCACCAGGTCGTTTATGATCATATACTAGGTCCATGCACCCTTTTTTCGTCATAATAAAAAAATGAGTGGAGTTTTCTCACCTGTTTTCAAATGTCTATTTTTTCCTTCCTTTCCTATCTTGAGCAATGAGTCAAACAATTAAGTGAATTATTTTATTTCACAGTACTTGGTCAAGGAACAGGGATAGATTAATACGGTTCGAGTCATTACCGCAACAATCTCTCATATCCAATAGGCGTTCAAAGAGAACTTTTCCATCTCCACATTACTTATCGCCTTTCAATGGCCACTAAATAAGATATTGAGAACATCAACAAATCCATCGAGGCACTGTCTGCCATGATGCAAACCCTTACCACTAGGGTCACTACCATGGAACAACACAAGGTCACTGTTTCCACCCTTGACAAATTGAAGGAACAAATGAGTAAGATTTCTAAGGATTTCACTTATGTGGAACGGCCTCCCACTCCTTTGGATGTGAAGGACATACTTCCAGAAAAGTTCTCCACTGTTGATATTCAAAAGTTCAAGCCTACTGACAATCCAATATTCCATTTGAAGGTGTTCTCTGCAACCATGGCTCTTAAGGGATTGGACGTAACACTCTTACCTACGGTGTTCCCTCTCTCCTTAGAACATGCTTGTCAACAATGGTTTTATTCCCTAGATTCCAAGCATACTGCGACTTGGCAAGATGTCACCGACAGTTTCATGAATCGTTACAAGTGTAACATTCAAACTAAAACTTCTAAACGTGAACTTTCCATTCTCAAACAGAAAGAGAATGAAGGCCTCACCGCTTACCTGAACAGGTGGAGGGAAACAACTTCACTCTTGGTAGATCCTCCCAAAGAAAGAGAGATGGTTCGCCTCTTTATTCAAAATCTGACTCATAAATATAAGGAACATCTCAAATTTCTTCCACTGAACACTTTCGAAGCTGTATACGATATTGGCATGCATCAATATCGAGGATGAGCTAATAAAGACTGCTGTTAGTAACAATAATAACACTTGGAAAAACAAGAAGAACGACCATCCTTCTTCTTTGTCTTCTAAGCACGAAAATACTACCAACAATATAAGCCAAGTTGATCTCAATGAAGTGTTAGCTCTTGATACTCCATTGCCCAAGAAGAAAAAAACTTACACTCTTTTAGGAATGACTTATGATGAGTCCTTTGATCGCCTTTACGGTCAAGGCTTGATCACACCTATTGGGACATTTCCAGAGCCTAAACCCGAAGAAAGGAGCGCCAAATGGAATCCCAATGCCCATTGCAAGTACCATCAAGGAAGGGGCCACACTACGGAGCAATGTTGGAATTTGAAGGACGTCATTCAAGACTTGGTGGATGCAAACAAGCTTCCTGTCCCTCCAGGCGGCAAGAAGTAATGAACACAAGGCGCACAGCAGATCCTTTGTGCAAGATTTCATGATTTATTTCTTTATCATTCATCTCCATTCCCCCATTCATGTCTAGCATAGGTT